GAACCGTCTGAGAACCTGCTTTTTGTTAAAAATGTTAATTTAGGCCAACATTTTTCAGTTGAACAGATCCAATGGGGAAGGTTTCTTCTCCTCCAGTGGCCACAGAGCAGAGCTGAGGCTCAGGGTGTCCAGATGAGTGGAAGGAAACGGGGAAGGACCTGGGGCGTGTCCCTCCTGGTAGCTCGGGGTGAAGTCTCCCACCAGCCCTGTTTAAAGGTTTCCCTGAGCTGAGCTGAGATGGAAAGGGGTATTTTTATCTCTTGAAATCCTCTGGGCTGGCAGTGAACACTGGGGCTGGCATGGTTCCTGTGACTCCTCAGGCTCAGCTCAGACTCAGGGCTCCCACTGCAAAGTTTATTCCAGTGCCTCTGCGTGGGCTCTTCACTTGCAGGCATGTGGTGGGAGAGATATTGCCCCCAGACACGATGATTTCAGGTCCTTTCCAAGTCCTTTCCATGGTGCCTCTCCTTGAGCCTGGCAGAGCAGTCCTGCTCAACCCTACACTCCTGAGAGGTCCCACGGTGGCTGTGAAGCCATCCAGGCTCCTACAGCTGCACACCCTCATTAACACCTGCAGAATTACTGTCTAATTAAATAAGTACGTCAGAATACATGTAAATACATCAGTACACATGATGGCCTCTGCTCTGGCGTAATCCACCAAGGAAAAACCCACGGTCTGTGCCTCATCTGTGGGATCGTTTTAGAGCTTTAAAATGTTTGTGTTAGTGAGAAAGGCTGGCATTGTCTAGTGACAGGTCCAAAAGTGTTTGGCTCTGCTGTTCTAAGGAATATTCTGTTTAGCCACGAGTAACTATTTGCCACCCTCACCACATCCTTAGCCTGATTACGTGAGCAGACACGTGCCTTTTGCCAGCTCTTCCGAGGGGACTCCCAGGGTTTGGCTCCTGCAGCCTCTCTGCCCATCACTCACTGATATTTCCATGGAAAGAGCCGGGTTTCATTTCCTGAAACGTGACCCTGCAGAAGCAACAGCTCCACAAGGAGGATCTCAGTGCTCACCTGATGGTGTTGCCAAACACCCCAAGCTCAGGCAAACAAACCCTCTCTGCCCAGAGGAGTAGGGCCCAGGTTTGCTGAGATATTTAAATGGCTTTACTGTGCTGGTGACAGCAATAGAAGTCACCAAAATGCCACTTAGGGTTCCCAATGCTCTCCTATTTATTCCTGTGCCACATTTTCACCTTTTTATCTGGATATTATTGTTGTGTACACATCAAAGACATTCCCGCTGACAGTTTCTAGGAAGTCAGGAAGACAGCCAACCAAGTTAAGGAACTTGTTTTCTTCTTTCTGCTTTTGGGTTTCCATCAGTGCTGATGTGGCAGCAGCAGCTGGCACCAGAGTGGAGGTGGGTTATAAGAAAAGGTGTTCTCTGCACCATTTATTTCCCAAGTGTAATTGCAGTGCAGTTGGAAGTAGTGTAATATCCCTGCAGCCACCCTGGGCAGCACAGCTCTGGCTATTCATGCTCACCTCTAGCATGTAAACACCTCTAATGTATAAACACCTCTAGTGTGTAAAATACATAATTTTTTAGTGATATATTCCAGTATTTTCAAGGTCACTGAGATGAGCATTTTTTAATTACAGAGTGGAATCAAGTGGAAGCCAAAACAAGTAGAACAGGCAGTGCCAGCCTCCTCCTTTGCAGGGAAGTTCAACTCCCCAAGTGCAAGACTGCAGTTTTCTTTAGCCTGTGTTGTATCCCAGGCCATGTTTGTGCTGTTCTTTTGTGTTGTTTTATGCCACCTGTGTTGGTTTTGGTGTTTGCGTGTGTTTATAAACAGTGCTTTATGCCTGCCTTGGGATTCCCCCAGGTAAAGGAAACCCAGAGTTAATCGATGCCAGGGTTAGCAGAGGTCAGAATACGATACACTCTGAATGCATTTAAGTATCTCCTGACATTTCTGTGGATGGTGATTGATACTGCTCAATCAGTTTAAGCCTGTCTTGAGGCCTGGCTGGGCTGGAGTGCCAGGGTTCATGTGCAACCACTTCAGAGCCAAGAAACCAACCTCCCCTTGCTGCTCCTTCCTTCCAAGGAGCGAGTTCCTCCTATCATCTGTATAAGATTTAAATGTTTACTTATGCCCTGCTCTGCTTCACAGGATGACAGTTGATGTTACAGAGAGTAATGAGGTTATCATACATTTATTAGTGCATCCTACATTAACACCATCCCATCCAGATAATGGTGCAACATGTTACACCAGGACAGAGGCACATCCATCCTGCTGCCCTCCTTGTGACCAATCCTATATCAAATAAGATCCCTGCTCTATGCATGGTTGATGCCAATAACATACCTCGAGGGGAATGTAGACATAGAAGATTATTAAATTCTACTTTTTAGTACTATTTTTACTAATATTTATAATGTATTTCCCAAAATGCTCATAGGTTGGGATTAACAGCATTAAGGAGTGTTTATCTCAGTTCCCTCCATGGGATACTGCTGTCTACAGAGAGAGCAAGTTCCTTGCTCTTCCCTGGCAGCACCAGGGGAAGATAGTTTATCAGTGATGGATCCCAACTGGACCAGACTCTGTGGGTTGTTTATAGCCAAGCAGAAAGGTTATGTTTTGATGTTTCCTCCACTTCTGGCAGCATTGTCTGGGGTGGCTGAATTAAGGGAAGAGGGCAGAACCCCTTTCACCACACTCCCCAGTGTTCCAAATCAGCTCCCAAGTGCAGGGTTACCTGGAGGGGAAGCAGCTCCTGCTTAACGAGGTTGTGTGAGGATTCATTAGGCAGCAACGGTGAAGAGCCCAGAGGCACTTCTCAGTAGGAGAGGAGTAAATACAAACTATTCCTGGAAAAAGTGGGGCAATGCTATCCCTCCTCAGGCCCCCACGTCCCCCCCATCCCTCCCTGCAGCAGTCAGCCTCACCCCCACTGCGCTCAGCCGAGTGGACACGATGGAGAGGGATGGTGTTAGCCCCACATCCCAAGGAAACAGCCTCACTGTCCCCTTTACCTGTCAAATTCTCTGCTTTGCCATGCCCTGGGGGGGGCTTTGGCCCCTCTCCTCCCACAGTCCATGCCAATCCCACAGGCATTCCTCTGCAGCATCCGCACCCAGGCTGGGGTTGCATCCCATCTCCTTAATGCTGCGCTAATAAGCAGTGAGAGGCAATGTGGAAAACAAATAGAGTAATTAATGGCCATTTCTGCTGCTGCTTTTAGTCACTGTCTATTCCAGAAGGAGCAGTTTTACAGAAGAAGCCTCTGCCCTCGCAGTGCCCTTGCATTAGGCACCCTAATTCTCCAGAGGAGGGGAGTTCCACAGCTTTAGCCTCCTGGAAAAACATGGGGGCTCCTCTGCATCTCTATAGATTCCTCCAGCTTTCTCCTGAATACTCTTAACAAAGGTACTTCAGCCACCTCAGAAAGGTAAAGCCTCGGTGTAGCTTATCGTCATCACGTTCCTTTTTGCAAATAGCTGACATGATGAGGAGGTTGGGTTTTAATTAGGAAACAAGTGGTAATTCAATTCTCAAAAATATTATTCACCATCAAACATTCATACTGGCATAGTCAGACTAGCAGTAATAATGTCCTCTGGGGGCAGAGATAAGAGCAGAGTTGAAAGTCGTGCAACGTCTATAAAGTCTTGCATGAGAAAACACAGGCACGAGAGGTCTCGGGCCCCCACTTGCAATTGCATCACACTATTGTAATAAAAATATCTTTCAGACATTTTCCTCTGCACATTTTCTTACCCTGACATGCCACATAGCCATGTCCTGGTGCTACCTCCCTCCTCAGTCCGTGCCTTGCCAGCTGCAGCCTGGAAGTCTCGGCTGTGACCCCTTCAAAGCACACACAGGGATGTTACTAAAACTGAGTGTGGTGACGAAACACTTTCCCCTCCCACCACGCACACATCTAAATAAAGAAGCATCACCCTCTCACCTGGCCAGTGCAAGCTTCAAAAACACAGGAGCAGCATGTGGATGAGCCAGGTACAGTAGGCAGTGACCCTTCACAGACCACCCTCCTGGGTCACAGGGCCCCTTCCTTGCATCCCCCAGCTCAGGACTGACACATCTTCAAGAACTCCACAAACAAAAACAACAAAGTGTGTTGTTACAAATTAAAACAAATAAACTCAAAGAGAACAGGAACAGCAAATGTCTCAAAGCCCTAAAAAAAAAATCAAAGTGTTCCCGTTCATCACTGTGGGATGTCAGTGGGCACTGAAGGAGCATTTTCCCTGCACAGATTGATCAGACAAACAGATGTCAAGAGGGACCCATTGAGCATTTGCTGTTCCACAGGCTGGCTTGAATGTAACTCGATTAAGGGGGAAAAAATCAATAATTGCCTAATTTAGCTATAAATTTTGATGGACAGAAGCAGAAAACCCAACAACTGTGCAGATATTGAAATGGCAGAAGGTAATTCAGATTCTGTCACAGTGTCCATGGAAGGTAAATCGTGCAGTGCTGAAAACGAGAGCCCTGCTCTCCCGGGATTTTCACTGCCCATCACAGAAGTGGATCAGGACATGGTCAGCTCTGGGATAGTGCAGGGCTCGTTCTGGCAGGGGAGGTGCCAAACCCACCACGGTGGGAGCGGGTCAGAAGCTGGAGGGTGTGGGACTGAAATTCCCCTAGAGCGCCAGCGAGGCTGCCTGCGGGAAACCTTCAAAATCTGCTCCTTGGAAACAAGTCTGTTATGTGGTAAATGCTTTCTAGTTATTTCTCTTCCCTGGCTTTTTGTGCTCAGTCTGTTTACACGCAAATTGGCATTTGCTGCCCTGGCTGATCATTCACCTGGATCCAGTCTCACCCGTCTGGTCTCTGTGCTGGCTCTGGGCACCTGATGTCTCCACAGATGAGGGCTGTGTCACTGGAAGGGGCACCACAGACTGCTTCTCCACCTCAGGCGCCCGGTTCCAGGGCACCCAGGTGCTGTGGGTCCAGCCCTCACCCAGGGAAACCCCACCAGAAACATGGGAATGTGCTGCCAGCTTGAGATGAAAATGGCGTGGAGTTTATTTGGACTTCTGTCACATCAAAAGGGCCCTTGTTTGAATTCTTCTGCCTTTAGCCTGGAGAAGAAGAAGGGGAAAGATTGGCTCCTATTAATAGCCTCGCATCCCACAAGATCCGAGCCTCATAAGAAGCCATGAAAGACTGCGGCATCTGATTCCCTGAATAAATAAGGTAATTTAGGAAGAAGTGTGTGCTCAGCAGCCTTCATTACTGCCTGCTCGAGTTCAGTGGGAGATGACAGTGACAACTCATTTTGCTGTCCCAAGGTCCCAGAGGAGCTGTGCTGCACCCGAGAGCCACCAGCACAGGCAAGGGTACTGCCTCCCCCCCAGAATTCCTGATGCTGCAGCTAACACCCCCAGGACTGTCACAGAGGGAGTGGAAAGAGCACCCCAGCAAGGTGATGGGCCAGCAAAGCTGGGACACAGCTCCTGCAGGAATGCCAAGGGACGGGAGCTGGTGACAGGGCAAGGCGATTCTCAGGAAAGCATCTGCATCAGGAAGGAGCCAGCAGGGAGCAGGAGTGTGGTGGAGCTCTGGTCCTGCATCCCCAGGGACTGAGGGGGCAAAGCCACCAGGGACACCCCTCCCACAGGGAAGGGCCAGGGCCTGGCCACGGCAGGGATAGCTGCTGCCCATCTGCAGGCCCCTGGCATCATCCCACACCAGAAGTTTTCTCCTGGGGACTGTGGGGTGTGCAGAGGGGTGTCCCACTGTGCCAGCTGTGGGGACACCGGCCACAGGCACCAGCCTGAGATTATCCAGGGTGCAGGGAGGGGTCTGACCCCAGTCCGCAACGCACGTCCTGGCGACACTCAGATTTATGCCAGCTTTCCCTTAAGCAGATTTTCGGGCTCTAAGTGTCAAGTTTAATCCCAACACCAAAGGGTCGTGTGGCAGCCGGTGCCTCAGCTGCGTCATCACCCCACACGCAGATGCTGGGACTGGGCTGCCCTTTGCATGTCAGGCTTGAGGTCACCAGGGCCACCAGTTGTGCCATCCCTAGGGTTCTGGATCTGCCCTTGTGCCAGCACCCAAATCCATGGCTGTCTGGTCTGGAGTGAGGCTGGGGGAAAGGTCGTGGGGGAAAGGAGCCCGTGGTCACTGTGGAGCAGAGCCGTGCTCCCGTTGCACAGGGAAACAGCAGAACAGAAGGATCTGCAGGATCATAACCCATCCTATCTGCAGTCCCATATGCCAAACAATTAATCTTCTCTCTCAGTGCCCTTGTAAAGCACACCAGTAAATTACCTTCATTTCACAGCTGAGGGAACGTGGTTCCAGTGAGGCCACTCCCCGAGGCGCATGGGAGTGGCCACGGGGCTGTCCATGAGTGGGTCAGTGGGCACGTCCACCCGGGTGGCTGCAGGTCCCCCAGGACAGCCTGCTCGGGGGAACAGGGACAATGCACAGAGAGATTTACACATCAAAAAGCACAGTCAATAAACCCTCAGTGACCTCAAAAGCATCTTTCTGCTAAAATGCATTCCCATGGATTTAGCATCTGCAACTCAGCTTGACCCTGGGGGCTTGGAAGAGGCACCTCCAATGGAAGGGAGTAGCAGATCCCCTAGAAGCAACATACATTCCATAAGGGAATCAGAGCAAATTCAGGCACCAAAATGCCGTTACTGTGGGAAGGGAATGGCAGCGTGTGGATGGCAGCAGCCACCCTCCCTGCAGGAGCAGAGCCATTGTCCTTCGGAGCCCAGGTCGGTGCCCCGAGGGATGGTAACGGTTAAAGTGCCCCATTTCTCATTCCACACGGCCTCTACCTTTGGAGCTCATCTGGGCAGATAATGGACTTTGCTTTCTGACTTAATCTGCTGTAAATCTCTCCCGTAATTGCTTATCATCCGGAAACCTGGAGAGAGCCAGGACAGACATTCCCCCTGTGCGATACAGCCATCCTCTCTCTCCCTGTCCTCATCCTGCTGCCAGCCTGTGCCCAGAGCACTCAGAAAACCTAGAGTGTCCAGCAAACCCAGACTCCCCAGAGCACCCAGTACATCCAGCACACCAGAACACCCAATGCACACAGAGCATCGGAGCACCCAGTATGCCCAGTACACCCAGTGAACCCCTGCACCCACTCGCCTCCCCGTGAGACACATCCAAAATCTGCAGCGGCATGGACGGCAGTGAGGAAGCTCTCCATGGGAACTGAGGTGGCAGCTGTCCCGTTCAGCCCTCAAAATGAAAGGGCTCTGTGATGGGTACCCCCATCACAGTACCCCAGCTTCTTCCACCCCTGAGGGAGCCGAGGGCTCTGTTGGGAAGGCAGCGCACACAGTTACGGGTGTAGGTCAGGGGCTCGCAGCACCCAAACCCCTCACAGCACAGAGGCTGCCTGGGCTCTGACCGGGGGCACAAGCCCACCTCAGGAATTTGGTGCTGGTGGGGGCTACAGAGTCTTTGAGTTCAAAGCCCCTCTTACAGCAGCTGTGAGCGGCATTTTGTGCTTGGGCTGGCGAAGGAGCAATCCCGTCCTGCAGGGGAAGACGTCACACGCAGAGAAGGTTGCTAAGCGAGCAGGTCCCTCCTCATGATGCACGACTTCATTACGCGGCTCCCTAAATGGATGCTACACACCAATGACATTTGCCTTAGAGCACATGAAGTCCCAAAATAGCGGGCGGCTCTCCGCGTTATTGGTTTGGTTTCCTGAAGAATGTCCCTATTGTCTGCGGGGCTGCGGTGCCCCATGGCTGGTAGAACTCTTGGGTGGGGTGGTAGGAGGGATGGGAACCCCCAAACCAGCCGAGCTGTGCCCAGGGTGCGAGCAATGGGGGATCCCAGGGTGGCCCCATGTGCAGGAAGGGGCGGGTGGGCTGCACGCTGTGAGCAGGGGCCGTGGGGTATGATGCAGGTCTCTCTCTTGCTCTGATCATTTTTCTCTCCCTACCTTGAGCATCTTTCCTGATGCTTTGCTCAGGGTTTTTCTGTAGGCCTCGTGTTATGAGCAGAGGACACAGCCTGAGGGGAAGAACCTTGTGCTGCTGCTCAAAGGGATGCTCCAGACACAGCCCCGCTCCTGCAGCCTCCCACCACCACTGGACCCCAAAGCTCTGCCAAAGGGACCAAATCCAGCTCACTACACACCTTCCAACATGTACAGAGGTGACAGGCACTGTATTATACCCAGGAACCCAGGTAAGGCCGCTTTTCCTGTCCTGCAGCCACAGCCACAGTGGCAGCAGTGAGGACCAGAGGGACCAGCTGCTCACGTAGCCATTTCATCTAAAATTGCTTAAACTCAGCTCAGGCTGTCTTTTTAGTTGAACTGAACAGCGCAGAGAGAAGGTCTGGCACCAGTACATAAGGTACAAGTAAAAAAGAAACATGTCCATATTGAAGAGACAAATTTGCTTTTCCTTTTTTCCCCGATTTCCTAAGAACATCCATGGCCGCTGATCTGCGCAGCACTGCCCTAATCCGGTGATATATTTTAATCCCATTACGTTGCCATGCTCTCGCTCACAGCCCGCCTGGACCAGGAGGAACAGATGTTTCCTAATTGGCACTTGTGCTGCCCAGGGGTTTCCAGCAGGGACAATATTCCTTTGACACTGACAGCGAGTCCCTGCTGCTGGCTTTACAGCCTCAAAGGATTTCACGGCTGCTCCTGTTCCACTGCCCCACCTCGAGCTGCTGTTCTCCATCCCGTGGCACCGGCGGTGACCCCGGCCGGGTGTGTGGGCTCGGTGGAGGGGTCACGCCGTCACCGGTGACCATTGCTGAGGGTTAATTACCGGCTGCGGCGGGACAAGGAAGCAATCGGGGCTGCCCTGGCCTCTCGCCCGGAGGGAAAGGCAACATTTGCTTTTTTCCATGTATTTGGGGAAAGGCGTCGGATGTGAAGCCCCGTCCCACAGCACCCAGGCGGCTGCGGCCACTGTGCCGGGGGCCGGGGGCTGCCCAGCTCCTCACCCTCACCGCGGCTGACTCGTTATTTCCAGCACATCCCTTTGGCTTTTCATCTTATTGAAGCGTTTTGGTTTTGTCCTGTTCCACCATCGAGGGCCAGTGGTGATGTGTGGGGCCGCAGCGTCGCTGTCCTGGCCGCCTGTAATCCCCTGATCCACGTTAATCCCATTATGTCTCCACGCGGCTGTTTCCAATTCTGGCCTTTGAAGAAGTGATGTTTCTTAATTAGTTTTTCAACTGGACGGGATTTCTTTTACTGTCTGAAAGGAGCTGTAGAGCTTTCATTCCTTCCTTTTTCTCCCTCGTTGCACTGATGTTAGGAACAAAAACAGAGAGCAGAAAGCAAATGGGAGCCTGGCATTCCGGAAGAGAGCATCCATCAGCCCTGGCCGCAGAGCCCAGGGACCACGAGGGGATCATTTGTTTTACCAGTTGCTGGACAGGGTTGGTGCTGCCTCTGCTCATAACCCAGAGCTCTCCCCCGCTGCCCTGCACGGCCCCTGTGAGGCGGGCGAAGCCGCACTCTGGGCTGGCACTGGCCCAGCGATGCCAGAGGGTCCTGAGCCAGCGCCCAGCAGCCACCAGTCCCGGCTGATTCCCTTTCCACTGCTAATCCTGGGGTTTGGCTGCAGCATTCACAGCCCGAAATGGAAAAATTTCCTGACCCTCCCCACTCCCCATTCACATCTGAGTGTTAAAACTGGTGGCTATAAGCAGAGGTTCTGCTCGTGGCACGGTGCCAGTTCCTGGTGCCCCCCCCCAGCCCCTCCATCCTCCCCTGGCCACCGGCGGAGACCCACTGCCCAGCAGGTCCTCCCTGCCCAGCAGAGCCGCTCACTTGCAGCACCTGCTTTTTCTCCCCAGATGTTTTCTCTAATCAGAAAAGAGGGAAACGAGGTGCAGCAGCAATGGGGAGCTCAGCATCCTGCTCGGCCCTGCTCCTGCCTGTTCCTGGGGACAGCCAGAGCTCTGTGTCCCCCGCTGAAGCTCCTCTCTCCCCGGATATTTCACTCCTGCCTCAGCTCTTGCATTAATCAGAGCAGAGATTAGTTTTCAACATGCCAAAGCTGAGCATCGATAAATCACAATTCTGCCCTGAAAACCACAAGGCTTTAATAATACATGCTGGGTTCCTGCTTGGTTTTCCTTCCTTCCTTAAGCCTTTAGTGTCTGTGGCTGTGTCTGTGCGTGAAGGCACAAACAGGAGGCTGGAGGCTCAATTTAATGTAAAGAAGAAAAAAACTGAAGCTCAGAACCTCATGTAATCACGTGGCTCCAGAAGCTGGAGGATTAAACATAACAATAATTTCCACATAAAAATCCATGAAACCCGCAGTAAAGCCCTCACAGCTGGCAGGGCACATTCAGTACACAAAGTAACCAGGCTGCAGGTGAGATCAAGCTGCTCCCACTGTGCCTAAGAATAAGCATTTCATATTTTTTACAACTGTTGATTTTTAGCCCATGATTCCCCAACCTGGGGTGTCTCTAGGCGGGATTTCCTGGGCTGCTGCCGGCAAAAGCAAAGCAAAGCCAGTGGAAGCCCACATCTTCATCTCCTCATTGCCTTTGCCTCCTCCTTGCCAGCCAGGCCACCCCGCGTGAGCCACGGTCCCCACCGAGGCACCTTCCAAGGACAGACAACAGGTGATGCTGAAGTTGGATAAGAAAATAGGAAGGAAAAGGCACCTCAACCTCGGATGTGATTTAGCCAGGGTTGGCATTATTTTTACCTTCACATTAATTACTCCATGGCAAATCGCTGCTCTTCCCCTGCAGGCAGGCCCTCGCTCTGCTGGGGATTCACCTGCCGTGGGTCCCGGGGGTCCCACTGCCCGACCCAGCCACCGTGGGTAGCGGAGGAACCGGCCATCCGGGAGGCTGGAACCAGCACGACCAGTGGCGATGAGGTCTGAGCCTCCCCATCCTATTTGCTGGGTGAAAAAATCCTTTCACTAGCCTGGAGAACAGCTTTCGCTCTGCCGACTACTGGCACGGCGGCAAAACCACCCACCCGCCACAGCGCCGTGGGACCGCCGAAATATCACAGCCCCGGCGCCGGCAGCGAGGGGCGATGGCCAGGGGGAGGGAAGGGACAGGGACACCGGCTGGGGGGGCCGGGGGCTCCGAGCTGCTGAGGCGGGGTAGCAGTGAGCCAGATGGCAGCTCTGCAGCGTGCGTGGGATGGAGGCGATCTTCTGCTTTTGAATAAAATTTAAAAAAAAAAAATAAATTTCCAGCATATTTTCCCCAGAGCCAGGGACGGAAAAACCCTCCTCGGCAGAGCTAAAGCTGCCTCGAGGTGACCCGAGGGCACCCACCTGGGTGCACCCAGCCACCAGATGAGGAATTTCCCCCCCCCCCCCCCCCGCCAGGCCCCATATGACCTCCCTGGGCTTATTCACATTTTCCACTTCTGCTTTCAGTACTTTTCCCCCAGGACCCCCCACCCTGCTCGCAGCCGGGCTCCGTGTTCCCGCAGAGACTGCCCTGGTCCCCGGCTGCCAGGTTGGACGGAGCTTGGGGCAACCTGGACTAGTGGAAGATGACCCTGCCCATGGCAGGCGGTGGAACGAGACGAGCTTTAAAGTCCCCTCCAATCCAAACCCATCTGGAATTCCATGGCTGGGAATCTGTGATTCCTGGGGGGGGTCCCTCCTCCCCACCTCGCTGCTGGTTTCCGCAGTTTGCTTCCCCAGAAGCCGCCGTTTCCCACCAACACGCAGCCTCAGGCAGAGCTCTCCCCTCAGCAGCACCGCGGGGAGTCTGTCGCTGCTGCCGCTAAAACCCCGTTTTTCAGCATCAATGTTCACGTCTGCGATGATCCTGAATTCCCCCCGTGGAAGGAAAGGCACAGCTTTCGGCAGGGAAGCGGCGCGGCGGCTGCCAAAGCCCGCCTCGCCGAGGAGCTGACATTTCACAGCAGCGTTTGGCGAGTGGTGAACTGGGCTGGTCGCCCGCGGGCTCGCTCATCCGGATCACAGGGAAAAGCCTCTGGAATGCGGAGGTTTAAGGGAGCAAACCCCCCCTCCGCCGGGGCGGCTGGGCGTGGGAGCTGTTGAGGGTGATGTTGTGCATCTGTGACTCCCTGGGGTTCCCAGTTTTGCTGGTTTTCACACCAAAGCAGCGGAACCAGGCGCTGCGGTGCACGAGAGAGGAGAGCGGCAGGAGGCACGCAATGCCCGGGGTGCCCCGGTCAGGTTTCCATCACCTGTGCAGCCCCGGCCCCCTGTTGCCCACACACAGCTGCAGTGACACACAGCGGCTGCCACGGCCACATCCTGCTGCCGGAGGGGACCGAGCCCGGCCACCTCCGCCACCACCTCCGGCACCTGCCCCTGCCACCCCACGGAGCCCTCGGACAAGCAAGTGCGGCTGCCTTCCTCCACTTCCTTTGCTCGACTTAAGACACGATAATTAAATCATCCTTTAGCTCCGTGACTGCTAAATTAAAGCATTATTCCTAATTAAAGCTTCCAGTGCCTAATAACTAAAGCAATTATTTGACTCGGAGGTGCTCTGACCGAGAGGGCA